TTAATGAATCCAGTTTTTTAAATGCGTAAATTTCCTTTCACTAGTTTCGATCATGTTCTTTTTAGGCTTTGTGATGGTGTCAGTTTTGATCTCTGACACTGTTTTCTATTACACTCAGGTGGGTACACAGACCTGCTAAACCCATTTGTGCTTTCTGTCAGTGCTGCAGATTTACAGTTCGGAGGTTTTTGGTCAAAAGAAGGTTGTTATTTCCATCTGCAATAATTTATATTTGGCAGTAAGGCTCTGCTCTGGAAAAGCAGCAGCAAGACCCCTCTACAGAACAGGTCAGGCATCAATAACTTGTGGCTCCTAGAGTTTCCAAAAGAAGAATGGGAAGCAGAATCCAGCCCCTCTCCTGTGGAACCAGCTCCCAGTGTGCACTCAGAGACGCACACCCTCTCTAATGTTAAGAGCGGTTTAAATGTTCTTTTTGGATAATGCTTATAGTTAGGACTGGATCAGGTTACCTTGAGCCATCACTTAGTTGTGCTGCTGTCGGCTCAGACTGCTGGGGGACTTTCCCAGGTTGCACTGAACATTTCTTCTCCTCTCACCTCTTTTCACTGGCATTGCATTTATTGTACAGCTATTGCATGTTACTAACTTTTGCCTGCTCTTTCCTGCAGTGTTTTTCTTTTTTCATTTTGTTTGTTGTGTGTGATCTCTCTATGCTCCTGTTTTTTTTCCCGTCTCTTTCCCCTCAAACCCCAGCGGGTCGAGACAGATGGCTGCCCCTCCCCGAGCCTCGTTCTGCCAGAGGTTTCTTCCTCTTTAAAAGGATGTTCATCCACATAGATGATTGTTGTCGGCTCTCCACTCAAATATTATTTGAAATTGAACTGAATCAAACTGAATTTATTTTTTTAAGTCTCTTATCTGTGTAAATTGCTGGACCCACATGTCTTCGTTCACTCAGGTCAGCAGACCAGATACTTTTGCTGATTCTGAAGAGAAAACTCAGACGTGACAGTTGCTTTTTCATTTGTGGCACAATTTGCCACTGCACACCAGGCAGACTTAAATCTCATTTAAAAATACACCTTTGCTCCCTAGCCTTTGTCCCATTGTGAGATACTGACTGTGATTTTAAGTCATCTTTTAATTGTGATGGTTCTTTTGTGTCTCCCTGTTGCTGCTTTAAAAGTAAAAGTGGCGAAAGTATTTTATAGATAGTGAATGTGGTTTGGTATGAATTGAACAGATCATGACATTGAAAGCAGGATGCAGATCTGCATCAACTGTGGACATGCTAGAGCGATTTAGATGAGATTTGCCAATTGGATCCATAGAGCAGTATCAGTAAAGCGATCGGGTAATGTAGGCTGATCCCAGCTGATCTGCTGCGATTTTCTGGACTTTGTAGCCTGCTTGAGCTAACCCTAAACTTGATTTATGCTGCTCTCAGCAGCAGAGAAGTTTGAAAAAAACACAAAAGGCCCTTTGCCAAGTCCACAATTGACCCATTTACTGTATCGCTCTCATGTTGCACACTCATCTAGAACAGTGGTCTAAAGCGAACACAGACCTTTAAAGTAGTTCAGATCTAAACAAAGACGTGGATGATGCATAGACACTGACAAACAATCTCCTGTGTTGTTTAGAGAGCAGGACCTAGTTACATAATGTACACACTTTGGTAAGGCATGTAATTGCAAGGCTTGATGCCCCAAAGTTGTTTTATGGCGATTTAATTTCCAGAAATCTGGTTTATTTATAGCAAGCCTGAAAAAACTAAATGGTCTGTTTGTCATGGTGGCTCGAGAGGTCAAGAAATACTCCAGGAAGTTATTTATAATTTGCTTATAATGAAGCAGATTTTTTTCATCACTTATTTGTTACAAAAACAGTTCAGTATCAGTCTTCATTAGATTCTTCCAAGGGTTACTTTTTTGTTTCTCTTTGACTTCTCTTTGTCTCTTTTACTGTCTTTTTCTCTCTGTTATTTTCTCTCCCCCCCTCTCTCTCACTCTCTTGTCATGTGATTTTGCTGTAGAGATGAGCAACAGAGCAGGAATCTGAGGTTCAGCCAACGCATTACATAAAGCTCCCTCCTTCTCCCCCAGTCGTTGCTAGAAAACAAACGTGAACCACTTCTTCTTCAGCTCGGCTAAAGTGAATGAACTCACTTCCTGAAGGCAGAGCAGGGAGTTTTTCATTAGGGAAAAAAAGAGAGAGAGAGAGGGAGAACGATTGTTTCAGGAACAGACTGGATTCTCTGGTATTTAAGAACAGTCAGTATGTGCAGAAAAACATGCAAGTCTGTCTGAAGCGGGCTGCAATCAGCTGCTGCAGCCTGTTGTGTCTACAGACCGAAACATTCACATCCATGTCAAGATGGCAAGGCTTCCCGTCTTTAACTCCTGTTAGCGCTGGGCTGGATGTTTGCCACAAGGACAGACAGCAAAGGTTTTGATTCATGGTCACTTTCAGATTTTGCCTGTTGAAGTCATCACGACATAAACTGGACGCATCAGACGTGATTCTTCTTTGTGTTTTTCATTTCATTGTAGAGCAGAGGGTCTTGAATCTGAAGCTCCCTGTGGCTTTGACAAAAAAAGGAGAAACTAAACTTAACTACAGTAACTTTTCTATATTTTATAAGTGAGGTCTGGTACCAGAACTGTGCTGCAACCCCATCAAGAGAAGTTTGTGTCTCCCCCTGGTCTCAAGTCAGACAGAGCCACTGTGATTGTTCTGCAGATGGAGTTTACTTTCTTTTTTACTTTTAACCTCCTAAGACCTGAACTCTTTCATGGCATGCATTTTCAGTTTCTCTTGGGACCTGATGAATGTAAAAACAAAGAATTACGAGATTTTTTTTTTTCTTTTTACCTGATTTTTGTTTCTGAGAGAAATTAGACTGACATATGAGGACATTCGCTTTACATTTCGATAGAACAGTGGCAGTGTGTCCTCGTAAGTGGACATCAGGCCCTTGTAGAGCAAAATTTAGTATTTTGGTCTAGACCAGCGGTCCCCAACCCCCTGCCCACGGACCGGTACCAGTCCGTGAGTTGTTTGGTACTGGGCCCGCGAGTTCAGGCACAGGTGTAAAATTTAGGGTTTTTATTGGTTTTTAGTGTTCTTTTTTTAATTGTTTTTATAGTTAACTCTGTTTCCCTGGGTCTTTTCCTGTGTGTTATGAATTAATCTTCTTTTTTGGTACCAGTACTGGTTTTATTTTGCTGTATTTATCTGCGACACCTTAAAGGCCGGTGTGTGAAAATAGTGTCGGACATAAACTGGTCCGTGGTGCACCTTTACTGGGTTAGCATCAGGGTCAAATTCCGCTCTGATCCCAAAAGAGTTTAAAAAACCTGGAAGTTCGTGTTTGACTTTAACGCTGTCCTCTCTCTCTTTGCTTCTCCCTTCCACCCATTGTTGTCCTCCCCACCTTGCTCACCTCCCTCCCTCCTCCTCCTCTCTTTGTGTTTCTCTCCTTTTCTTCATTTTCTTATCGGCCCTCGGCCTCAAACCGCTGTCTGCGTTCTTTCTTCCTCTCTTTGTCTTTTTTCCTGTCTATTTTCTTTTTCTGTCCTCCTGTCTCTCTATCACCCCGTCTTTCTCGCCTGCCCAGCTGTTCTGACCCCGACAACTTTACACAGAGTGAATGTAGAGAACAAGACAATACGAGTAGACAGCGGTTGTAGTTTTTCTATATGTGTCTATGTATTTATGCTTGAAATGCTTTGTGTGCAACAATAGGGGTGTGTTCGTGTGCGTGTGTATGTATGTGTGTGTGCTTTAGTGTTGCGTAACCTCTGTGAGTGGGATGCTGTTTGCGTCCAGTGTTTATAAACTACTCCGCTCCAACAGCAATAACGTTGCGAAATCAAACACACACACACACACACACACACACACACACACACACACACACACACACACACACACACACACACACACACACACACACGCAGTCCTCTCGTAAATGACGGTAGGAGTCATTCAGACTCCTCCTCGTCCATCCATCCTGCTGCAGTTGTGTAAAACAGTGACCGCTGGAGACAGTCGACTTCCTACAGCGAAAACAAAGATTTTCTTTGTTTTGTTTGGAGGAAATTGCAGTTTTCAATGTTTTAATGTCAGATAATCAGTTAAATTACTCTTAATGTGCACAATGGAACACCTAAATCTCCAGAGTTCTGCTTGAATGAGGGATTCACGTCTATTCAAGCCTCAAATGAGGGATATGATAGCTGAAAGACTCTTTAGATTTTATAGTAAACCGTAGAATGATTCTTTAAACGTAGATAAATTAGAAACAGATGAAAATATGTTGCTGGATAAAATGGGATTAGAGGGAATAAATCATTTTAAGGAGGGAATAAGGATAGGAGCAGCAAAAATCAGCAAAAGTAGAATTCTTCAAATATTCATCATCACACAGGAGACATAAAAAATTCGTTCATGTACTATGATTGTCAACTGTGGGTGACGATGGCGGGCAAAATCAAAGACTTAAACATCTATTCTAGTTATGTGTTTATAGGACCTTTTTTATTTTACAATGGCAGTAATGGTCTTTGCATATGTGCAAATTGGCATGTCAACTTAAAGACAAAATAATGCTGTATTTTATGGGTCAGTTTACTGAAACTTTCCTCATAATTTTCCTAAAAACATGCAAAAATTGCAAAGATATTTCCCAAAAGAAGTCAACGTGGTGCTGCAGTGGTTAGCGCTTTTCCTGTTTTGGAATGAGTTCTTTACACGCACTCTTGGCTTCCTCCCACTGTCAAAAGACATCCTCGTTAGGTTAGCTGGGTATTCTTAATTGGCTATAGGTGTAAATGGTTGTCTGTCTCGATGTGATTGGCGGCCTGTCCGGGGAATAAGCTCCAGCCCGACTACAACCCTGAATTGGATAAAATGAAGAAAATAGAGGGATGGGTTTCCAAAAAAAATGTTTACTGTAACACTTTATTCCCTTGTTGTCTGAGCCGTCATTCGCTGTCAGCTGCAGATGTTCATGTTGTTTTTTCTGTGTCTCGCAGAGATGTAGCGTGTGTGTTGGTGTGATCGGCGGACCATCATGCACCTCTTCTTGCTGCTGATCCTTCAAGCTACAGCAGCCATCGGACAGATTGATCCCGGTACACAGGCACACACACACAAACCCCACTTTACCCCATCTTGATTTTAAATCTAAATCAGTCCTCTGCAATGAGCCAATTTAAACAGTTACAACTCAATAAAATGTTTCATTTGTAAAGGTCTAAAATCCGTCCTTGCAAAACACATAAAAATAAAATTGTGAATGTGTTTTTCCAGCACACTGTCGCTACCCCTTGGGCATGGAGGATCGACGGATCAAAGATGATGCGCTCAAAGCATCCAGCCAATGGCACGAAACAACAGGACCACAGTACGCCAGGTAGGTGTGGCTTAAAGGTTAAGTCGACTGGTTTTAAAAAAGTGTCTTTTATTGTTTTTAACTCTTGAATAAAGAAAAAAAGAAAAACCTGAAATGGAATTGTGCGATACAAAAATTGATTAAATATGCTTTAGAATGAAGTCAAATAAAAATTAGAAGATTTTAGAACTCCATCTTTTGGTTAAACTTGTGCAAGTGTGGTTTATGTGTTTGTGTGTGTGTGTGTGTGTGTTTGTGTGTGTGTGTGTGTGTGTGTGTGTGTGTGCAGGTTGAATCGTGAGGAGGGAGACGGCGCCTGGTGTCCTGCAGCGCTGCCATCAGTCAGTCAGTACCTCGAGGTTTGTGTCTGAAGCGTGCTCAGTCATGTCCGGGTACCTGCATTTGTTATGTGGCGAAGTTCTACTCCATAAGTAAGAAGGTGTCGTGCATGCAGGAGAAAGTGGCGCTGCGCAGTCAGTGTAACATGAGAACGGGTGAAAAGATCACAGTGGATCAGAATCTGAGGTTTCAGAGTGTAACACAATATTTAAGTGCTTTGCAAAGCAGCTAAATTCAGTACATTCTGATTTAAAGGTGAAGTCTGTGTGTGGTCTACAAAGTTATTCTTTGGATAAATCTAGAAGCTCATGTGTTACCCAGAGAAGGCTGTTATTACAAACTGGCATATAAACCTAAATCTGTGTATAACAGCTGACTTGTCGGACGAGTGGAAGACAAAGAAATACTTACCTTCAGAACTGAGCGATCTTTTAATAAAGTTGGTGGTATCGATACTGCGCCACATGTGTGAATGCTGCAGTGTGAAGCTGTAGGTATTTAAATATCAAAGGAGAGAATCTGAGTCACAGTCATCTGTGGACATCAAAGACTGTATGGAAAATCCTCAGTTTCACATGATATTTATGCGATTCAGACATTCTTACACTTCACATCTGTTTAAGTCGCTTTAATATCTGTATATTGACATACGTTTAATATGTTAAAATGAGGAAAGTAATTAAAAAATCTAAAACCTGAAAATAATTTTGTGATGTTGCAGAGGTTTTTGTGTGCACACTGTTGAGTAAAGGCACACAGAGCATCTTTAGTTTTTACAGTTTTCTTTATGGGCCGATTTCTGTAGAAATGCAACAAAAATCCTGAGACGCTGCAAACACTCAGCTCACGATAAAAACCATCTTTGAAGCCTGTTATAGATCTCTGACTTAAATGCATCTCGTATTTGGAAGCTGCATGCCTCTTGACATTAAAATTGCAGGATTAACAACCAGATGTGTGGACGGCTTGCCTCTATACTTTTGGGGTGAACCATTTTCCCACGTTAATGATACAATATTATCTTTAAATGCAGCCTTTAGTTTTTAGGTTACTCGCATGTTACAAGATTTGACCGAAAGCCTTTTGCTGGAATTTTCTTTTTAGGTGGATCTCGGCAGACTCACCTTTCTGACGGTTATTGGTACTCAGGGACGATATATCAGGAACTCTGGGAATGAGTTTGCCCGAGAGTATCGCGTAAACTACAGCAGGGACGGCAAGCTGTGGAAGTCCTGGAGGAATCGGCAGGGGAACGAGGTGAGTGACCCAAATATCTTACAAAAAGGACTTAATGAGAGGAGAGAGGAAACAGACTGAAAAATGGGACATGAGAAGGGTCTGAGCCGAAGGAAGAATAGGAGGAAATACGTGAGGACTGATGGAGGGAAGACTGGAGAAAGAGGAAGAAAAAAAGAAACGAACAGGATTTTTTTCCTCTCGTTTTTCACTCTAAGCTGCTTCTGGTCATTCATATTCATATCAGAGGAAATTACATTTACACGCCAGCTTCCTGTTGGCATTCGAGATCCCCGCAGCTACGCAACACTGTTAGAACAATTTAAAACACCAGAATCATGTTTTTGATCTGAGGCTCCTCCCTCACATTCACATGGGGAACTTCCCAGAGTCTGTGCAGATTTCTGGTTATTTTGTGCCCAGCAGCACAAAGATTCACATTCCAAATTTCTCAGGGTGCTTTTTTTCACTTTAGGAAATGAAGCCCGGAAACATCCGCTGAGGAGTAACTGATGCATGCCGTCAGCAGAAACTCTCAAGCTTGTCTTCTTTGCTTTGAATGTTCGGCTGCTTATTTCTACACGTGCAGTTGTGCAGGGGCACTGTGTGAGAGAAGTGAATATTAAAAAATATATATATTATTTTCTTGTGAACATAAATTTGGCATCATCCTCACCGTCCTTTTGCATCTATTTGTGATTATTTTTGTGGTTTTTGTCACTTTGTTCGATAATTCTGCTCATTTAGGGTGTGTTTGCGTTTTGTATTTGTTTAGCATAGCTTTTCTTGTCTTTTTAAAGAGATTTTCCTGCATCATTATAATAATGTTGGTCCAGGATCTACGTTGCAACTGACCAATCAGCTTTCAGTTTGCACTGGCCAAGAAGTTAGTTAATTATTTTAAAAGTATCACTAGCAAACTTACATGAGCAAACTAAATTTGGCTAACAGAAGCTAACTTGATAATATTTTTATTCGATTGTATAGATTAATAAAGAAAACAGAGCGTTTCTTATAAACATAGCCTTTTTTTTCTTTTTTACCCCATAATACAAAGCTGTGACATCACAACAATGTGACTGGTCACTTTCAATGTTGATCCTGGACACACATTGTTATGATGATGCAGAAAAAACACCAACACAGGGATATCAGATGCACCAATCGTTGGTCGCTGCCCCTCCCTGATCTTGAGTTTGTCGGTGGTCTCTATTGCCAAGCGCTGCTCATAGCAGGTTGTTTGCTCACTGGGGCTCTCTCTCTAATATTGCAGCATATTTAACTCCCTATTGTCAGGCACAAATTTTCCTCTAGACACCATCACAGTGGATTTTAATCAAGCAATCAAAATGTGACTGAAATGCACACCTTCTGGTCTAAATCAAGGGATTTAACAAAAGTAACACAAAACCTATAAAAGTGGCTAGATAGCAACATTTCTATCTCTTTAATTAGCCCATTCTCACTCCCAATGCCTAATATACCGACGATTTGTCAAATCCTGAGGTGTTCCATGGGAATGTGAAAGGTGACCTTCTGCGTTCCTATGCTACGCGCTGGATTGTGGATGAAATCGAATAGAATGAAGCTCCCACGGTAAGACATGTTCCAGCCGTGTATTCCAGCCCTAACCCTAACCTTATCCCTAATCGTAACCGACACCTTAATCGTGTTAAATAGTGTTTTCCAAAGCAATTTAAGTAAAATAAACGTACATGTGTGGATTCGTTCCAACGGTTCTCATTTTCCGAACTCGTAATATAGCGTTGGGTGGCTGAAATCGTAATATACCGACTATTTGTCACCTAGCATAAAATGTTACACTTTGGGAGTGGGAACGTGTTGCTTTAATAGCTTTATTGTTTGTTTGTTTTTCAGCCTAAAAAAAATCCCTCCTTCACTTGCACCAATGTCTCTTTGGGAGGTCCAATGCACACCTTCCAAACACAAGTTCAGCACTTGGAATCAACTCCAGATCTCTTGTCTGGTTCATTTGTCACTGAATAATGAGGGCACAGGCCTCACCTGGCCAGGACACTGTTTGTCAAGCAATTCTCTGAAAATCAATGGACTGTATAAAGATGGCTATAAAGTCAAAACATGTCACATGACAACTTGTAACAACACTATTAACCTACTGATTAAACAGATGTTCCAGGGGTTTAATCTTTCTGTACTCCTGGTGTGATGGTCTTCTTTGTATCCCTGATATCTGTGTACAGATTATTGAGGGAAACAAAGACGCCTACACCTCTGTCATAAAGGACCTCCGCCCTCCGATAGTCACCCGCTACGTCCGGCTGCTCCCCGTGACCAGACTGTCCACCACCGTCTGCATGAGAGTGGAGCTGTACGGCTGTTCATGGGACGGTAGGACACATAAACACACATTTTCCTTGTTAATGTGCGTTTTCGTCAGCTCAACTGCCATTAGAGACTGTTTACGCTTCCTCAGAGACAAGTAAACCTCTTCATGTCAACATAAAAGCTTTTAATGTCCATAAACAACTGTTTTTCATCCACAAGCAACACTTTTATTTAACAAACACTGCTGTTTATCAGATCCTTATATCGAGCAAAAACAGGAATTTGAATGATGTGAGTGCGATCCTCACACTGTTGTCATGAAGGTTGAAAGTTTGCTGTTCTGAGTGCAGCTGTGGGATCTTATTGTGGTGAGATAACAGTGAAATGGGATGAATTGCACCTTTAACTTTCCACTCCTCCTGGTTTCAGATGGGCTGATATCCTACAGCGCTCCAGAGGGTCAGCGGATGCAACCGCCGGGTTATCCCATCGCCAACCTCAATGACTCCACATATGATGGAGTACACGAAAGGGGGTGGGTCTCTCTTTGCTGCACTCGTACATACATCACATATCAGCGTTTCCTGTTTACTGACTGCTTTGTCATCCGATAGGAAGCTTTTCGGCGGCCTGGGTCAGCTGACGGACGGCGTGATCGGCCAAGATGACTTCACACGGACCCACGAGTACAGCGTGTGGCCTGGCTACGACTACCTGGGCTGGAAAAACGACTCGCTGGAATACGTGGAGATGGAGTTCGTGTTCGACAGGCAGAGAAACTTCACCTCGATGAAGGTTTTTCATTTTTGCTTCCTCTACCTCATCAGTACTATGAACTCACCACAAACTTTGTCATAGCAGTAGTGGTTGACAGCACTTTTACATGTGCTTTTGCAATTACCAGACTTACTCAGAGCCTAGAAATTGCCTCTGGTTCAGATCCAGTGTCGGGTTTCTCTAGTTTGCTCGGCACCATGTCAGCGTCAGCCTAGGCTGATGGCAGGGGACATGTTTAAACATCTTTGTGAGGACAGTAAATTGCATGCTACTATACTTGTGGGGGCCAGCAGTCACTTATGGGGACAAAATGCCCGTCCCCACGAGTTTGAAGGCATTTTGGAGATTCAAAATGTGGTTTTAGTGTCAGTGTTACAATTAGGTTATGGTTAGGTTTAGGCTCAGGGTTAGGCATTCATTTTTGATGGTTAAGCTTAGGGTAAGGGTATGGTTAGGCTAGGGAAAGCATTATGTCAATGAGATGTCCTCACTAACATATGAAAACGTGTGTGTGTGTGTGTGTGTGTGTGTGTGTGTGTGTGTGTGTGTGTGTGTGTGTGTGTGTAAAAACGTACAAAGTAACTTAACTTTGTACGTTTTCAGGAGCATGCACAGTATTGTCGCATAATAAAAGAGATTGAAAAGTATTTTCTGCCTACCTTTATATCTGGTCAAGCTTTTTAACCAGTTGCTTACAGCTCTCCTTCATCACTGTGTAACTGATTTAACTGCAAACTTACTTTCCATCCAGCATTTGCTCTTCCTGTAATATGGAGCGCAGTCAGCAAGTGCTCCAGCAATGTTCAGTGGAGTCATGTGTTTACTTTTAAGTCACGCATCAGCAGCTGCTAGCATCTCCTCCTACTGTGCCATCATTGCCACTTTGTCTGAGTCCATTATAAATAAGCTTTAGATCCCCGTGGAACTCCCTCACGCTTTACAAACAATAGCAGATGTTCTGCTACTTACTCTTACTTTCATTCTCCATCCAGGTCCACAGCAACAACATGTTCTCCCGCGATGTGAAGATCTTCTCCTCGGTCTCCTGTTGGTTTAAGCCCCACTTTGTATGGGAGGCGGAGCCTGTGGAGTTCAGGACGGTGCTGGATGACCGGAATCCGAGTGCTCGCTACGTCACCGTGGATCTGAACCACCGCACTGCCAAATCCCTCCGCTGCCACTTTTACTTTGCTGACGTCTGGATGATGTTTAGCGAGATTTCCTTTCAGTCAGGTAACAAACACGCACGTGCAAACAAAAGTGCAGAACAGTAAAAGAAGGAAAAATAAGTGACTTCCTGTTTTTTGTTTTTCAGTGGATACCATATTCCTGACCCAAATGACATCTCCTCTACCCACTAAGGACACCATCACAACACCTGCACAGAAGACAGGTGTGACATTTAATTGTTTCACGTTTTAAAGTCGCCACTTCAAAACTGCGACAGATAGAGGGAGCTGTTTTGTCAGTTTGTGCTCAGGTCATTTTTTTTTCCTTTTTCTTAATTTTTGAGGACGTATATCTTTTTTTAGCATTTCTGTCATACTTAGTGGAGCTACCACTAACAAATGTATTTGCAGAAACAAATGATAAAATCTTTGGTATATGGTATTCTAACCTGTCTTCTCAGCCGCTGCTCCATCAGCTAGTGCCACACCAGATGATGGGAAAACACCCATCCTTATTGGCTGCCTGGTAACCATCATCCTTTTGTTGGTCATCATCATCTTCCTCATCCTATGGTGTCAGTACGTCTGCAAGGTATTAGAGAAGGTGAGGATACAAATAAATGAATTACCTTTGTTTTTCTGAGTGGAAGTGGGGGTTTCTTAATAAAGTACCTTTATTTTGTTAACTTCCTGTCATGTCCGTTGGTGTTAAACATGCTGTAATCACTTAATCGCTTTAGGTTTTAAAAAAATGTTCCTGTAAACAGCTGCATTCTCTGCTGAAATGCAAACCGTTTCCTAATAGATGTCCACCAGGAGGTCCCTGGTTCCATTTTATGGTCTTTAAGTCACCTCACACATTTGTTTTGATCTTTCAAAAAGAGGTTAAAAGCTGCAGTTTAGATCCCAAACTCACGTGGGAGATGGGAGGCATTTCTTTTTCTTTTTAGGAAATAAGATTATAGCTTATGTTTGTGGCTAAATCAGGACTATTAAGCATTAAATCAGATTAAAGAACGAATAAGAATGAACTGACTGACTCTTTACAGGCATCTGTGACCCCATGTTTTTTCTTTCTTCCATCCTAATCTAGGGTCCACGTCGGATTCTTGATGAGGAGGTGACGGTCCGGCTGTCGTCCTGCAGTGACACCATCATTTTACAGACTCCACCTGTGCCCCCGCGCTCTGGACGCGCCCCGACTGGTACTCTTCTTTTACTTGTATCGTTTAAAACATGCCTTTGTTTGCCATTATTATTCATGCAGAAAGAATTGGTGAAAGTTAAGGTGTTAAATTTCGTGTTTGTAGGAGAGATATTCTTATCCTTGACTGATTCCTGCTGTTTTCCTCAGGTCCTGTGAACACTGACCCTCACTATGAGAGAATTTTCCTGTTGGACCCTCAGTACCAGAACCCAGCGGTGCTGAGAAACAAACTTCCAGAGCTGTCACAGAGTGCAGAGGCATCTGGTAAACACCTTCAACGATGAAGTCGATGCAGGCGTTCATTTAAGAATTAGTGAAAAAGACACAAGTTGAGAAATAGCAGAAAGTCCTTTGAACGCTGCGTCATGATGTTTGTCTTTGAGTGACCGCTTCATAACCGTGTGTTTAGGCTTGTAGTAGGAATTTGTGTTAAGAATCATTGATGCCTCAGAGATGTTCCAGATCTATCCAATATGACATGATTAATCACAGCTGTAGAGGAAAAAAGGTCGAAAGCCTTTCAATAAGAGAGTCTGCTGCCTCCTGGTGGCGATGTCAGTAATTTCAAACAAACTCTACAAACTTCAAGCATCCATCAAAGTTCTGATCTTCTGTCACTCATTAACAGCTCCTCAACCTGTTTCTCTCCTGTTTATTTACTTCAGAACGTGTTAAATAAGCTCTTTTTTTCTCCTTTTTCTCTCTATTTAAGTTTCCCGGATGAAGTTGAACATGCATGCTCATTCATACTTATTCTGCAGTGCTTCTCTCCTTTTTCTCTCGGCTCTCTACGCCTCTTTTCCAAGTTTCCTCTTCTTCCAGCTCTCCTCCTTGGTAATCCTCTCTATGACCTCCTCCTGCTGACTTCCTGTCATATGACATCAGGATGGCTTCGTGGTAAGAGTTGAAAGGTGTGACTTCATGCAGTTAATCAGATCACATATACTTAAGTGAAATCAAGTGAAGTTTGGAATTTTATTTTATTTTTATTTTTCAATTCTTTTCCTTCTATGAATCATCTTATGACCTACTGGAGGGGACCTAACCCTGAGAGGTTGGGATATCCTGGATTGAAAAAACTTCTGTAAAAAACAAATTCAAACTAGTAAAACTTCAGTCAGCAATTAGAATAATGGTACTAGTAAAATGATAAAGATGTACTGCTTTTACTTTAGATAGAAAACTAGAAATTACCAGTAATTTAATGTTTTTACTATAATCTTGTGCTGTTGGTACTTTTCAGTAAGCTTCACTTCATTTTTTATTTATATTAGACATTAATTAAACAAGCGCTTGTCTTTCCAACAGCATGTGGAGGTGGCTATGCTGAGCCAGACATCACCCAGTGCACGCCGCACCAGTGTTTCCATAGCAATGCGCCACACTACGCTGAGACGGACATCGTGCGGCTGCAGGGCGTCACTGGCAGCAACATGTACGCCGTCCCCGCCCTCACCGTGGACTCTCTCACCAGGAAGGACATCTCCGCTGCCGAGTTTCCTCGGCAACAGCTGATCTTCAGGGAGAAGCTGGGGGAGGGGCAGTTTGGCGAGGTGAGCTTGTGGGAGGTTTCGTGGGCTTCAAAGTTATCCTGGAAAAATCTTATTTCATCCCTATTTCATCTTCTTCCCTGGCAGGTCCACCTGTGTGAGGCGGAGGGACTCCCAGAATTTCTTGGGGAAGGCTCGCCCCTCCCTGACCGAGACGGTCACTCTGTGCTTGTGGCTGTTAAACAGCTGAGGGCCGACGCTACCAGCCAAGCCAGGTACTCTTTATGAGTGTGTATATGAATCGCGACAATGTCAAACTATATAAATTTGGAGCTGAGGTGGTTAAAGGTTCATCCCCTGGAGAGCATATATTGGTTAAAATCAGTGTATTCATTGCTTTAATGTGTTCATATGATGAGAATGTTTCACTATTTATACACTAAAAACAAAAATATAGTCCATAACTAGTCAAATGAATAACGTGCAGGACCGAAAGCTCCAAACTGCATTTCCTGGTTGACTATTTTTTGCAGAGAAAGCCCTCCTACCTACAAATGCAGACCATGTTATTTGAAGTGAGAGCAGTACTTGACTCCGTAGATGAGAATATATTAGGATAAACTGGTGTAAGAGCTTTAAGGGATGTGCAGGATCTATCTGTGCATCAGGCTTCGCTGTAACACTGAGAAATACATACCTGTAGTTGGTTCCTTTGAGTTGAAGAACAGATCTGGAAATGCTTCCTCTCCTTTATCTGTCCGTCGATCAGGAACGACTTCCTGAAGGAAATAAAGATTATGTCTCGTCTGAATGACCCCAACATCATCCGACTGCTGTGTGTGTGTGTGTCGTCCGACCCACTGTGCATGGTTACTGAGTACATGGAGAACGGAGACCTCAACATGTTCCTGTCACAGCGGGAGATCGAGAGCACTCTTACACATGCCAACAACATCCCTTCAGTCAGGTTAACCATGCACACAGTTCGCACAGGTCATACATGAAAACAATCGAGCGTCAGGTTTCTAAACTATCTTGTTAGTGCACTTTTGATTCTCACCACTTTGAATCGCTTTCTGCTTCTCCACTTCAGCCTGTCTGACCTCCTCCATATGGCGGTGCAGATCTCGTCGGGGATGAAGTACTTGGCATCTCTGAACTTTGTGCACCGTGACCTGGCCACAAGAAACTGCCTGCTGGACCGCCGCCTCACCATCAAGATTGCCGACTTTGGTATGAGCCGAAACCTGTACAGCAGCGACTACTACCGTATCCAGGGCCGGGCGGTGCTGCCTATACGATGGATGGCCTGGGAGAGCATCTTGCTGGTAAGGTTTGGACGAAGGGAGTTGATTTAAGATACGATCTTTATTTTGCTCCTTTTAAACTTTACACCCCTGTCATGTGTTACTTTTTGGTGGAAGTTCTGCGGTTATTCTGCTGCTGCATTCAAAATCTTCAGATACTTGAATGAATGTTACCCTGATGATACTTTCCTCTGTATTAGAGAGCTGAGAGCTGCTGTCATATGAGATAAGCTGATACGTTTTCACAGGATTCTGTCTGTAAGCACTAATCATGATTCAGTAGCTTGAAGAACCATCTTTAAAGTCATACAGCATTTTTTTGCTGTATGACTTTATTAGTCTAATATAATTGTGCAGGAATTTTAGCCCACTGTTGTAGTTCTTAGGTCTTTTTTTTCCAAACTGGGAAAACATCTGCTGGTAAATAGGTGGTCAGATATTATTGTATGTTTTTCACATGTTCGTACAGGATATTGTATTTGTTTTAAATGTTATGCACTTGTGTGGTACATGTATTTTGACTTTTGTTGCTATGATGCCAGGTCTCTCTTGGAAATGAGATTTTTAATCTCAATGAGATTTTTTACCTGGATAAATAAAGGACTAATAAATAATAATAATGATGATACTAATAGTAAAAAAATTGCTGATTATGCTACTTAGCCTATTTTAACCCCCAATACTTCACACATACTACCAGCCAAGCCAGACTCTATGCAATGCTATAAATAGTCTTTTTCAAATGACTGGTAGTCTATAAATGTCTTTAATATTCAAAAGAAGAAGAGCTAAAAGTTCCAGAAGTTTATATAGGCTTGTAATTGTATTCAAACCCTGGGGACATTTGCCTAGATCAGTTCAGCGACTTATAAAAAACATGTACGTTCCCCTCACATCTTCTTTTTTAAAAATCAACGGCTGAAAGCAGTAAAACAGTTTTCCACAAAACAAATAACAAACTCTTTACAGTTGCTTGTCTTTAAAATTGCTAGATGCATAAATGCAAATGCAAACTGTTTCACTAAAGGAAGTTTAGCTAAGAGTTCTTCAAAAGCTTCCTGCCCTCCAGAGGAAGCACCAGTAGCGGTTTGCACACTAAAACAATGAAACATCTTTTTTGCTGCAGTGTTGTCTTTCAATAACTTTCCTGTTCTGCATCATGAATGTGGTTGCATAAGTTTAATGTCTTTTGCAGCTGTAAAGTTAAGCGAAAAAACAATGGATCCAAGCGGACCCAAACCAGGTCTAAAGCAGAAGCTTTTACGTTTTTATCGTATCGTATTTTTTTGTAAGTCTCACAAAGTATCGCAATCAACATTTCATCAGCAGCTGTCTTCAGAGAGTCACTGAAAATAAGACAAAGTATTTTAAAGTTGGAGTGTTAAACTTTCAGATGTGATTTTTCTCCTCAGGGTAAATTCACCACAGCCAGTGACGTGTGGGCCTTTGGAGTCACCCTGTGGGAGATCTTCACTCTGTGTAAGGAGCAGCCCTACAGCCTGCTGTCTGATGAACAGGTCATAGAGAACACTGGCGAGTTCTTCAGGAACCAGGGCAGACAGGTGAGGCGAAACACAGGACAGAGTCACAGATTATTACCTTCTGTCACTGGATTAAATCATTTTGCCCACCTGAGAGTAAAACTGCAAACATTTAATTTAATTGCAACTGGATCCAAGACAGCTCATAGCAGTCTTTACAAACCTGGAAATCAGGACCCTTGTAAGTGCCTGCAGGATAAATTTGAGGGGCTACTAAACCTAAACCAACATTTGTCTTTTTTAACAAATCACTGGACTCTGTCATCACTCTTAATTCTCCCGTGTCCCTCACTAGATCTTCCTCTATGCCCCTCCACTCTGCCCACCTTCTCTCTTTGAGCTGATGATGCGTTGCTGGAGTCGCGATATCCCTGACCGACCCACCTTCGAGGGACTTTACCAAGCCCTGAAGCCCCACGTCAACCAGTGAGTCAAGGCTGCTGGGATCTGCTGGTTGGGATTTCCGTGGCGGTGGGACTCTTATAAGAAGACAGACTGACACAAAAGCACAGAGGACTGGAATTACAGTGCAGAGGGATTGTTGGTTTGCTTCACGGCACTAGCGACTCCCTTTTCTGAAAGACCAGGTGATGATGGAGGGAGACGTGACTAGTCAGCTCAGAGGAGAAAATATGGCAAGCTTCAGACCTTTTGGTCCATAGTGAACAAACCATTGGCAGTTTCATAGCTTCTTCTGTTTTTTTACAGCCGCTTTACCCCAAGCCTTTTGACTTGTTTGTGCCAAAAGTTGCCTTAAACCATTTGTTTCCTTCTCTTTGACTTTTAGAGATTACAAAAAACTGGATAGTCCTTGTAGTTTCTCCTTTCCCTGTGGGTTTTTATTATTATTATCATTATTATTATTATTATTATTGTTATTATTATTATTGTAAAGCACTGTGTCTGTGTCTCTCAGTTATTCATGTTCATATATTAATCCACACTGGAGCTAGGGCTATAGGGTCAGATTTTAGTGTAGGATTTTATTTTTTAGATTTATTCTATTTTAAAATTTTGTTGTTTTGTGGAGTTTCACAATCGTTGGTCTTTTTTTTTTGTGGATATGAATGTTGGTCAGCTGAGGTTCACGTCGCGGTGCCAAGAAGCTGAAGAAACCTGTGTGGCTCACAGACTGAAAATCAGTCGGTGGGTATCTGTGGGAAATTCTGAAAAAAAAGAACTTAAAGCCACATGAGAAAAAAACTGAATCATGCCACTTTTGTTCCCTAAGAGACAAAAAAAATGTTGAAATGCAGTTTTAAAATAAAAACAGAATTGTAAGCATCTTTGTGAAGATGGGCATGATGGTCAAAATTTATGATCCTTTTATTCAAAGTGCTTTGCATATGTAGCAAAATCGGTACCAGAGGGAAAGGTCATGGATGCCTGACCCTCAGATGCTGGTCACAGGGAGATTAACCAAGTGTCGAATACCAAGGTGTCATTTAACCTGTCGGTGTTTGTCTTTGGGGACCTGCAAAATATACATTTTGTGGATAAAAAAAATCAAAAAGCATATCTGATTTAAACGTGGGCACCACGTGGTCAGAGTTTAGTGCACACCAGCATGCAAAACATTAAAAAAGCAGGATTTTCACTCAGCACTTGGTTTGTCCTCTCAAAATGAAATTCAGGTTCATTGGTCACACACGTCAGTGACACACAAATGCAAATCTGATAGTTATGAGCCCTGCTTAGGCAGCCCATCTCTGTGGGGAGATTTAAAACAGGTATCCTTTTTGATTTTTGATGGGCATTGTGGAACTTTATGAATGCACCTTGCATATCTCCTTATTTGAACTCACAAAGCTGAAGGTGTTAAGCTCTTCTCTGGCTTCATGTAGTCGGTTTTATTCACAGAAATAAACTGCAGTAATACTTACTGCATTGCTGCACATGTAGATGTCTCACCATTTGATATGTCTAGTCTTCTGTAGTCTGAATTTGCTAGGATTTGAACTCCAGACAAGGCATTTTGTCTTGACTTAATGTACCATCTACATTTGGGGCTGTGAGTTCCCAAACTACTGCGTTACAACAAGGTTCACTGATGAGTGAAAGCTGATAGACTGTGGGCAAATGGAGGCCTAAAAAATGTTTTAAGTGCTTCCAACACTGAGCAGGTATTTAACCGAAGAGCGCCCTGCAATAATAGTTCATTTTCTGACCCTGTGTAGTGGAATAACCCTGTGGCAGATTGTACCATTTTAGTTTAGTTTGTCCGTAGCGGAGCCTGTTCCTGAAGTTATATTTAATCAAATGTAGGTGTAAAGACTAATGTTTCAGCTCAGAGGATCTGATTACACGGTTCATATTCAAAGGCACGCTGGTCAGGAGATCAGTGTTAGCTATCAGTGTATGTTTTACATGGGGGCCACTTAACAGGTTCATGCATCAGAGAAGTCACTGCATCCAATCACTGCAGCACCTTTACTGAAAAAACGATAAAGATTTTTATGTTTAAAAAGCAATGCATTCATTCTGACTTTGTTTTGCATAGCATTCAGATGAGTCTTGTTTACAGAACTAATGCTGGATCGATGCAGACTGTAGACTGGATTTATTGTTCTTCTGTCAGGATGTCTTAGGAGTAATAAACTTTTAACAAAAAAACCCCAAAACAATAAATGTTTCATGTCCAAATGTTTCACGATGATTTCAGCTTCAGCCAAAACTGACAAACGATACGAGCGTTGGAATTTTCATGATTCTGTCTCATCTTCAAAGTGTTGGCATTAACTTTAATCCAAGTATCAGTCCTCACCTTCCTTCTTGCAAGATTAAAAATGTATAACCGATAAGGAAGTTCATGTCGACAGTGCAACGATTTAAGCGAGCAGTTACAGATATAAGGCCATACAGATTCATATAGATAGGTGACCATAGCCAGTGAGTATTTTGCACAACCTGACAAGGGAGGGATGGATCTGACTATGAAACTGAGGGATGGGTCGTAAGGAAGGCCCGTTTGCATAAGCAAAGCATACCCTGCTTTAAGTCCAGTTAACTCTAAATGAACCGTAGTTTACAAAATAAAATTTGTGCTGAATTAGGTCAGACTAGAAACTATTGAATAAGACTATAAACTACCTGGGAAAGTCTTTACTTCACAAATGAAGTTAGCTGAAGAGAGATTCTCATAGACTTCTGTACAATCAGACTTTTTGCCACTAATGGAGTTTCCTCTGGGAAATGGGAGGTTTGAGGTACTTCTGTGTTCTGTGCCTCATTTTTCAGACACAGAGACTCTTTCTGTCTTTTCTACAGTCTGTGGATGGTAGCGGACGGTGCAGCCTTTTGACTAACTAACTCAAGTGATGCTGATAGTGGCTATCATGTTAGTAGTAGCAAGAGCCGCTTTGCCCCCATGCTTCCTGCACCATTCATTTTAACATGACTCAATAAACTTCTGATGTGTCTGTTTTCAGAGTTCTTGTCTAATGTATAAAGGTGGTAAAGCATAATTTAATGTCTTTTTTTTTTTTTACTGTTTAGGTCACTCAGTTAATGTCAGTGTGTATTATTTGTATGCAGTACACATTTGCAGTATTTTAAATCCTCCCTGAGAACAAATCGTATAAAATTAAAAATGGCACGAACGGAGAAAGACCAAACATGTAGATTTTTGAGTACATTTTTCTGTGTTTTGTTGTTGTTGCAGTAGTGTTTTGTTATCTGTACTGTATCTTACATTTCTTTCAGCGTGTTTGTGCGAGTGTTTAAGAGAAAGTGAGATACTGAGTGAGTCTTTTCAACATTCCCTTGAGCACTGGGAGCTAGTTCAGGTTAAAGTGGTTAACTGGATTTGCTCGGTTGTGCCAAATTATGTTAACTAAGCAAAAGAGGGAGTTGGGTTTTGTTGTTGTTGTTGTTGTTGTTTTCAAGGCAAGAGGAAAGATGGACAGAAGGAAACCACTAAACTCAATCTCCCAGAGTCCTTTGCTACAGTGAGCCTGTGTATTTTGTTTTGGTTCCATTTGAGAAATCTTTTAGTTTGATAGTGTACAGTATAATTGGTCTATAATATCTCAGTGTGTGAATGCAGATTAGGTGTGGTAATTTTTATTAATAATTAATTGTCTATCTGAATTTATAGCTATTTCTGTTTGTTTTCCCTTTTTTTTTTTTTTACACAGGAATTCAGCATTTATGGACATTTTTCTGAACAAGATGTTCTGTTTTGTTTCCCTGTTGTGTTCACAGTAATTTCTCATCCACACTGTTTAATCTTTGCTCCCATCTTCAGTATGTTTCAGACACATATTGTACATAGGCTAGTAGCTGTTTATATTAATATATAGGGAGGAGGAAGCTTGGTGTTCTCTGGTCCCAAGTGGTTTTCACTCTGTACTTTATCTCACTTTGGTTTGTTTTCCTATAATAAACAGTAAATGTGTCAAAGATGGGGTTTTTTCTTTTGTCTTTGTTTGTTTGTTTGTTTGTTTGTTTTTTTCATGAGTAGAGAAAACACTGCAAATTGAAATCTAAGCTTTTCAACAGTTGACGTTACAGTTTTCAGTCTAGACCACATCGATGTTCTGTACAGCAGGGGGCAGCAGAGAGATTTAAAACACACACCAATACAGGACAGCCTATATGTGGAAATGAGTCCTAGAGAAGCTTTGTTGTTCTGAAGGAACACTGAAGGCCTGATTTCTGCACATTTTTATGCCTTTTGTTTCAGGTTTGAATGTTCTGTGAGGATTTACGCCTTTTTGGGTTTTTTTCCAAGAAAAATAAAGGTTAGCAGGGATCCAACACAATAACAGGGTCCGTGGTGGGCAGGAACTTTTTTGTGAATTAAGGCACTGGTAATAAAACGTAACAGCCAATGATTAAAAATGACAAATTTCAGGCTCTTTAAGCTCTACTTTGGTCTCAACCTCCTCGGGAAAATATGTCTAGAGTAACCGTGGGTTTACCAAACTATGTGGGTTACATTATTAAGCCAAGATTGTTGCATCACTCGCTCCCTGTTCAATGTAGAATTGAATTAAATCTTTCTCTTTATAAACAAGGTCTTGAATAATCAGGCCTCATCTTGTCTTAAAGACCTTAAGTACTGCATTACTGGGATATTTAAAAGTAGAATGGGAGCTTTCATGCCTCTCATTTGTGGCACTAACTCTCAGTTTGGATTCGGGAGACAAACACCCTCTTTCATAATGTGTTAAAGGTTTTCAGTTGGCTGGACTGCAGGCAGGCCAGTTTAGTACCTGGACTCTTCTACTACTTCTTCTACTATAGGTGCTGTGTGTGGTTTAGTATTGTCATGTTTAAATATGCAAGGACTTCCCTGGAATAAGACATCATCTGGATGGAAACATGTGTTGCTCTAAATCTTGTATATACCTTTCAGCATTGTTGATGCCTTTTAATGTGTGCAAACCACCAGTATAGGCACTAATGCAACCTCATACCATCAGAAATCAAACAGCTTTCCCATTTGGATTTCTCTGACTACAGAAGAGCTTTTCCACTTTGCCTCAGTCCATTTTAATGAGCTTTAATGAGCCACCGTTTCTGTTTTCAGATATTGCTTCTTCTTTGCATGATAGCACTTAAATCTGGATTTTAGGACTGGAACAGGAAATTGTGTTCACAGACTCACAGACGATGATTTGTGGAAGTTTTCCTGAGCATGCAGTGATTTCCATGACAGATGCATCCCTGTTTTCAATGCAGTGCCCCCTGCAGTTCTAAAGATTACAAACATCCAATACTGAGTTTTGGCCTTGTCTCTAGCACACAGAGATTTCTCCAGATTCTCTTAAGCTCTTGATGATATTATGTACTGTAGATATTAGATATTCAAAATCAATTTTTTTACAGATTGGTGAACCTCTGCTTATCTTATCTTTACTTCTGAGAAACGATGCCTCCCTAAAGATGATCTTTTTTTTTCCTTTTCTAGCCTTCTGATGCCCCATTTGACTTTTTTTTTTTAAAATAGGGATTGCTGCCATCAAATTAAAAATGACTTGTTTTAGTTTTCCCATTTGAAACATTTGATATGTTTTCCATGTTCAATTGTGAATAAAATATGACTTTATGAGATTTGCAAGTCATCTCATTGTGTTTTTATTTCCATTTTACTCAACATTGCAACTTTTCTGGAATTGGGTTTTGGTCTCTTTTAGTTGAGATGTTTCTTTTGTATCTAGGATTTATCATGCATCATAATCAATCAGTTAGTTTCCGTAGTAACTGCACAAATTCAGTAATGAAAGAGAAGTGTTATAAAACCTTTGCAGGTTGCTCATGAACTCTGCAGGAATCCTGACAATCACAGATTTTGTAACTGTCCTAAATTTGGCAAAGAAGCCAAAGGCAGAGGTTTGCCTGCATGTGTGGGCTCAGTGCCGGCAGATTTCATAAGGGTGGTTCACGGCCAAAAAGCACGGCGCAGGTTTTACTTTGATGGAAGTTTGTTTAAAGTTGCCATGTCTCTCTGTAGGTATGAAGTGTAAATGTCTCTTGGTTGATAAATTGACAGCCTAAAAATGTGCTGTAAGTTTAAAAAGCACTAAAAACCTTCCACACGTGTGAAGGTTTACACAACACTGGGCAAGGTGACAACAGCTTTTATACAAGTGGTATGATGCTAGAGTAGATCCAGCCAAACCCAACCTGACTGTAATTGTTGGTGCTCTGCTCCCTGCTGTCCTTCCAAATATGCGAGTAGGACTGGTCACAGTAGGGACTATTTTTGTCTCTTTAGTGTGAGAGCTGTCACGTACACCAAAAGCTTCATAGAGGACTGAGAATAGCTTGAGCCATTTCATTTTTGAACATTTACTTTCCTTTCACTTTAAAGGCCGTCAGTGACAGAATGACAATTAGCAAGTGGAGTACGCGAACATTTGGAATGGAAATGCCTTTAAGTTTCATTCTATGTCCAAGTCCTGCGTTTGGGTCCGTATCCTGCCACAGTGCACACCTTGAAAGGTGCAGCACTGTGTACCTATTTTATATACCTATTTCACCTTGAGACTGCCACCAACATTTTGCAGACTGGCTGAGAAATATACATTTTTCCATAGTGATCTGTGGTTACCAGATGGTCTCCAGGCCTGTATGACTGGAACCTTATGTTACCTGTGCATTTCCATGACTCTGCTACTTTCAGCTGCTCCCTTAATCCCAAGAGCGCAAGCACCTCGGCACAGATTTACACCAGATATACTTCCTGACAAAACCCCAAATGGGATTTGGGTCTCCATCTATGATTGGACCAAACCAAACCTTACAGTTTTAAGGTGAATGTGTAAACCACTACACTATGGAGTCTCTTCCATCTCCTTACTGATTCTTCTTCCCACCTTTCTTCACCTCATAAGGTTTTCTACTGTGGTGAAGAAAAGGTAACAAGGAAAATGTTGTAGGGAGTAAATGTTTTTTTTAGCTTTTCCACTGAACCCTCAGTCTTTGTTAGGTTGCCATTTAATCTCCGTTCTGTTTCTCAGTTTTCCATTTTTCTGGCTCCCAAATTTTGATTTGCTTCTAAATAAATAGATCCTTTCATATTTACTGCCAGCCATCAGTCCCATCCAAAAACCTTTATATTTAAATTTGCAGATAAATTAATGTAATCTACATCAGTTAAACATAAATAGTTATAAAACCAGAACTCTTCTAACTCTGGTTTTTGCATTATGTTCACTCGTGGAAGAATCTGGATGTCTGTATAAACTCTCACAGCTCCTACAGAGCAAACAGCAGGATGCTATAAGCCAGTCATGAATGAATCGAAGCAACAGCACAATCTTTAATCTTTAACTGAATAAAATATGATACACGGAGGAATGTTAAGCCTTGTGTGCACAGATAAAGGATTCGGGTCATTCATTAAATAATGCCACTGTTGTGTTTTGATGCAGGTAAATGCCCATGTGCCATTTTAAGAACTCGGTTTTAATTCTTATTTTGCCAAAAATAAATATATCTTGAAACCCTAAGAATCCGGAAAATAATAATTGTTTTCAAGTTCAAACATCTGGCTGAATAAAGCCTCATTAGTTTGTGTCGATTAAAGATTTAATGGTCCATGTCAGGAAACAGGGTCCCTGCAGGAGTTATAATAGGAAAGACCACAGAATAAAAAGGATGGAAAGAAGGAACCAGCAAATTGGTCCTAAATGGGCCAAATCACGCACAAGATTGAGGGCTTGGTGTTATTTTTCTCTAACATCACTTCAAAGAATGAAATTATATTATTTAAAATTGATTAGCTTAGGTGCTGAAATGTATGGATGACCATGAACAAAACGTTTTATTTCCTTTCCCTTTGTGAAAGTAAATTACATTTTAGAATGATTTATATTTTAAATGTTTGTTACTTTGGGAGTGTTAATTGATATTTCCGCCTCTAGAACTGCTCTCAGGGGTTTTGACACAGTTAGTGCTCTGAGGAATTTTACAAAAGCCTTTTGCTTTGCTTTGATTTGTTTTATTTAAATGGAGCTTTTCTAGAGGTCTCTGTTTGAGTGTAACAATCAGATTACTACAAGCGAGCAGGTGGCAGATACTGAACTGTACATGGAGAGCAGAGACCACCAGATGAAAGTACCAATGCCAACAACGTGCAGCCCTGCCCATACAGGGTGATTGACAGGTTCTCTCGTCAAAGTAACTGCACAGAAATGACAACCCCCACGCTCTGCTGTTTATGGGTGCTATCTGTCCCCCAGCTGTTTGACCTCAGGATAGAGGAAGGGGCCAGCTAGTTGATGTGTTTTTCATGAGTTTCTCAGCAACTTTACAAGCAGATCAGCAGCAATGAAGTGAAAGCAATGCTCTGATTGGATGGATGGATGGATGGATGGATGGATGGATGGATGGATGGATGGATGGATGGATGGATGGATGGATGGATGGATGGATGGATGGATGGATGGATGGGAAGACTAGTTAACTGCCTATATTTTGATTCCAAATTTTTCACCTTTTATATAACATTTTTTGGTTTTGGTAGCATGGTAGCTTTTTCAAATTTCCAAAAATTTTAAAAATTCGTATGGATTAGTTTAAATTAAATAAAATTTAGAGGACAAAGATGGAAATAACTACAGACAAATACAATAAAGATCACAGTGAAAGAGTGTCTGAAGGCCTGACTGATTTACAGCTTCACTTGTTGACTTGTTGCCTTTTAACCATAATCAGTAGACACACACACACACACCAGGGAAAACCTGCTGTTTGGTTTCTTGACCTATGGATGGATGGCATGTGCTGGGGCTGGAAATAAAACCCACAAAGCTGCAATTAGACAACCACATTTTTTTTAATTCGTCCAAGTTTAATTTGTCACCAATTATTTGATGACACTTTTGGAACAGCACCATAAGCCACTGACTCAACCAGCTCAACTCGCAGAAAGTCATACTAACACATTAGCA